AGCGAAGTGCCCCAGCCCCCCCGGAAGAAACGGGCACGGGCTGACCCCACTGTGGAGAGTGAGGAAGCATTCAAGAATAGAATGGAAGTGAAAGTGAAGATTCCCGAAGAGCTAAAACCATGGCTGGTGGAGGACTGGGACTTGGTTACCAGGCAGAAGCAGTTGTTCCAGCTCCCTGCTAAAAAGAATGTAGATGCCATTCTTGAGGAGTATGCCAATTGTAAGAAATCACAGGGAAACGTTGATAATAAGGAGTATGCGGTTAATGAAGTTGTGGGAGGGATAAAAGAGTATTTCAATGTGATGCTGGGCACTCAGCTGCTCTACAAGTTTGAGCGGCCCCAATATGCCGAAATCCTTCTGGCACACCCAGATGCGCCAATGTCGCAGATCTATGGGGCGCCACACCTACTGAGATTATTTGTGAGAATTGGGGCAATGTTGGCCTATACGCCCCTTGATGAGAAAAGCCTGGCATTATTGTTGGGCTATTTGCATGATTTCCTTAAATATCTGGCAAAGAATTCTGCCTCTCTGTTCACTGCCAGTGATTACAAAGTGGCTTCTGCTGACTACCATCGCAAAGCCCTGTGAAGGTCTACTGACCACTCACTATCGTCTGGTATCTGTAAACACTTCTGTTTAGTCCTTTCATTGTATAATTGATGTTCTTTACAACTGTCGATGTAAAACAGGGCTTATGTTTCAGTTTGTTTCCTGTTCTGTTGTAAACAGAAAATAAAAGGAGTGCCCAGCTCCTTTCCTCATTTCAAAGTTGCTACCAGTGTATGCAGTAATTAGACAAAGAAGAAATTCAGTAGAACATTTTATTGCCTAGTTGACAACATTGCTTGAATGCTGGTGGTTCTATCCCTTTGACACTACACGGTTTTCTAATATGTGTTAATGAAAAGTGAGAAGATGCCCTGGTTCCTAGTGCCAAAGGTTCAACTTAATGTATATACCTGAAATCCCATGCATTTGTGCTCTTTTTTTTTTATGGTGCTTGACGTAAACAGCCCATCCTCTGCAAGTCCATCTTGTTCCTTAGGCATTCATTCTATCTTTGCTCAAATTGTTGAAGGATGGTGATTTGTTTCTTGGTTTTTGTATTTGAGTCTCATGCACGTTCTAACATGATAGAGGCAATGCATTATTGTGTAGCCACAGTTTTCTGAAAAGTTGATATTTTAGGAATTGTATTTCAGATCTTAAATAAAACTTGTTTCTAAATTTCAAAGCAAAATTCTGTGTGGTGTGCCTTTTTATGTTAGTGAGACTGACAAATGCAGGTTCCTGGAATACTTAGGTGGCACAAAAGCGTTTGTCTCCCAAAAGAAAAATTCCTTTCTTGGGCCTGAGAGGTTGCTCAGCCTATGCCGCTCTTTCAGAGCACCTAGGTTTGGTTCCCTGAAGTTCAAAAACCATCTGTAACTCCAGCAGAGGATCTGGGACCTTCTGGCCATCTCAGGTATGTGTATGGACATGCACACGCCCCCACACATACACATAATTAAAAGTACAAATCTTTAAAAAATGCTTGCTGTAGCAGATAAGATTATGCCCTGTCAAGGCATTTCTCCTCAGTGTTGCTTCTCGGCTAGATTGCTTACTAGTGGTGCTTATACCAGCCAGGTTTGTTCCTGGTGCTTATGCCTGTGATTTTGGCATGTACAGTGGGATGAGTACTCTAAACTGCCCCTTATTTTGATTGTGAAAACTATGTCCAGGACCCAGGCTAAAAGCTTTAATTTTCCCACAAGAGGAAGCATGGGTGGGTTACCCTATGTATTTCTATCAGGAATACTTGTGGATTTTTCTAATTCTCATGGAAATTCCCCAGTCATCTTCCCCCTACCCCAATATGGCTATTTTTTATACTTGCGACAAGAAAAGCATATGATTTTTGTTGGAATTTGGGAAAGTGATGGACAAATTGGAAGTGAGAATTGTGAATGCTATAGGATCAAAGTCTTGGGGCTTTTTTTCTCATTGGCAGAGAGGCAGAGTCATGGCATATATTGTTTGGTTTGGACAAGCATAACAGTGCTACAGACTGGTGAAAAGAAATTGATCTTAGTTCTAAAGCATAAAGGATCAAGGTGCTGACAGAGATGGTTTTTCCTTGGGATTGTCCATGACCATCTCTGTGTCTATATATTTCCAATTTCTTACAAGGACCCAGTCATTGGATTGGGGCCTGCTGTGGTGACATTGCTTAAACGTAATTATGTCTGTAAAGACTTTTCAAATATAACTACATTTTGATCTGTAAGGGCTATATGAAGAGGGGGCTTATAATTTAGCCCATCACATGGGGTTTAGTACCCCTAGGCAAAGGAGGTGATGAGGAATGGGGCAAAGGTTACTGGAATGGTAGGTACATAATTGTGGAAAAGGAACCATCTTACAGCAGTTGTGATGCACATATGAATCCTTAAAAAAAAGATGCCAAGATAAGTGACAAACCTCTGTTTCACTTCTGCATCATGCCAGTATACAGCCTCCTTCCTTTTGCCGAACTGGAAGCCAGAGAAGGAATACCTTATACGTAGGCTATATTGGGAAGCCTGAGGTACACAGAACAAGTACAGAAATGGATGGAGGCGGTGAGGTACAATGTGAGGCTGTCTAGCACACATGAAGTAACCATAACTACTATTTTACCATATACTCAAAATTCTGAATGTGCATAATTTGAATAAAGGCTACATCAAAAATATACATATAATTTAAGTGTCTTTGTTCCCAGATTGATATAAAAAGGACTCTTCTTTGTTATGATTTTGGTGGGTATGGTGGTTTTCTCTTTCCATTTTTAAAGTTACTTGTTTTAAAATTTTTGGAATTACAATGACATCATTTCACTTTTCCTCCCTTCAGTCCCTCCCATCTAAGTCTTCCTTTGCCTGCTGTCAAATTCATGGTCTCTTTTTTCATTGTTTTAAAGTGAGGGAATGAATATAAAATGTCAAATGGGAAAATTTGGGGGAAAGGGTAAGGAGGGGCCTACACAGCCAGCTCAGAAGTTAAGAGCACTTGTTGCTCCTGCAGAGGACCTGAGTTCAATTCCCAGCATCTACATGGTGGTTCACAAGCATTCATAACTTCATTTCTAGGACACGTGCATGCAAAACACACAAAAAAATTATTTTGTTTTTCGAAACAGGGTTTCTCTGTGGAGTTTTGGAGCCTATCCTGGAGCTCGCTCTGGAGACCAGGCTGGCCTCGAACTCACAAAAATCCGCCTGCCTCTGCCTCCCGTGTGCTGGGATTAAAGACGTGCAAAATAAAATATTTTAAAGAGTTGTTACATAGCAAATTTTGGTATAAATTTTGGTATAAAATGATACTCAGTAAAAGTTATTTTAGCCACCAAAATAGAACAGAATGTAAATGACTGAACATATGTATTTCATGTGTTAGAACATTGAATCAATGAAAGCATAATATAGTCAAGAAATATTTTGAGAAAATCCTTCTGGAAGTGATTTTTTGCATTATATTTTACTATAAAGTATATTTAAGTGAATTAATGGTTCACATTTTATCAATGAAACCAAAGGATGCTGCCCTAAAGTAGAGGTTTTTATACTCTTGATGGAGATACGCCCTTTGTGAATATTAGATTATTGGCAAAGTGTTCATAAAAATTTTGATAGTGGACTAGGAAAGTAAAGCTAAAGAAACAGGCTAATTTAAAAAAGTAGCTTTCTTTAACCTAGACATAAATTGTTTTGAGACAACATCTCTATGTTGCCCTGGATGACCTGAAAGTTGCTAAGTAGACCAGGATAGTGCTGGTTAGTTTTATGTCATCTTCACATAGGCTAGAGTCATTTGATAGTTAGGATGCTCAGTTGAGAAAATGCCTTTATATGAGATTGGCTGTAGACAAGTCTGTAGAGCATTTTCTTAGTGATCCATGGGGGAGGGCCCAGTCCATTGTGGGTGGGGCCATCCCTGGGCTGCTGGTCCTGGGGAAAGCAGGCTGAGCAAGCCATGAAGAGCAAGCTGATAAGCAGCACCCCTCCATGGCCTCTGCAACAGCCCCTGCCTCCAGATTCCTGGCCTGCTTGAGTTCCTGTTCTGACTGCCTTCAATGAAGATGACAATGTGGAAGTGTAAGCCAATGAACCCTTTCCTTTCCAACTTGATTTTGGCCAAGATGCTTTAGCACAACAATAGTAACCCTAACTGGGACAGAGATCTGCCTGTCTCTGCCTCCCACATTTTGGGATTAAAGGCATTCCTCACCATATGCAACCTTAGATATAAATTCTTTTTTATTTTATTTTTTATTCGGCATTTTAAAATTTGTTTTACATACCAACCACAGATTTCCTGCCCTCCTCTCCTCGCATTCCTTCCCCCACATCCCTTCTGCCCCCTCCATCCACTCCACCTCCATCTCCATTCAGATGAGGTAAGGCCATCCATGGCAATCAACAAAGCATGGCAGATCAAGCTAAGACAGGACCAAATTCCTCCCCCTTGCATCAAGGCCAAACAAGGCATCCCATCATAGGGAATAGGTTCCAAAGAGCCAGCTCATGCATCAGGGATAGGTCCTGGTTACACTCTCGGGGTGCCACAAAAGACTAAGCTACACAACTGTCATACAGATGCAGAGGGCCTGCCTAGGTCAGTCCCATGCCAACTCCCTAGCTATAGTATGCCTAGGCATTGCACAGTGGTCATCCCTGAGCTGGGTTCAGTCAGTATATTTGTCAGACAATAGTATAACCCAGCTCCAGTATGACCATGGTGCAGGCTAAGCATACTGTATGTTAATTAGTCCTCCAAAATTCTGGTTGTTTTAGGTTAAGGACAGAGAAAGAGTAGCAGAAGGACCTGCATAAACAATAAAGGGGTTTTGCTGATAATTATATGCACCTTATTGATTACCTAACTACTATCACACCTTAACCCTGGTGCATGGAGCATGTAAATTACTCAATGAATAGCGCAGTCTTTGTATCTTAGTGAGTAACTCATTTTGGTAGATGAATTCTTTGGGTCAGAGGACTTAAGTATTCATATTCTGAATTATCGATTGGCAAGTTACTATAAGGGTAGGTTTGGAGACCCTATTTCTCCACATCCTTTGTGGGATCTAGGGTTAGACCATTAAGATGAGTTCTTAAAAAGGACTTTAATCCAGTTCAGGAAACATTGTATGAATGATACTCATGAAACATCCCAAAGGATGAACAGGATTTATTATTAAAACTTAGAACAAGAAGCTTACCAGGGGTATATGCTTAAGCATGTAAGAGATATTACATTTTTAAATTGTGTTTAAGGACTAGAGAGATGGCTCAGCAATATGAGTTCACACTGCTCTTACAGAGGACCTGTGTTCAGTTCCCACACCCATGCCAGGAGAAATATAACCACCTGTAACTCTAGTTCCAGGGAATCTGACACCCTCATCTGGCCTCCATAGGCATCTGTGAATACCAACATACAGATACACATGCATACACATTAAAAAGAAAATAAATCAGCCAGATGTAGTGGTGCATGTAGTGGTGCAATCCCAGCACTCAGGAGGAAGACCCAGGAGGATCTCTGTGTGTTTGTGGCCAACTGGCTTATTAGCAAATACCAGGCCAGCTAGGGCTATTTTGGGCACAGAATAAATATTCAGAAATGATTATTCTCTCTCCTCTCTCCCTTACTGAAAGGTAAAGTGTGAGGAATCTAACCTCAAGAGATACAGTTCTCAACCTGATGTACCCAGACTAAGGTTCTGTAAAGATACCACGAGAATTGAAGAAAACCAGGTGTGATGGTGTATGCATGTAATCCCAGCACTCAAAAAGCTAGAGTCTCAAGCCTGGCTTGCATAAAATGATTCTGTCTCAAAAAATTGGACAGTTCCTTTGTCTTTCTTATTTTTGACATTTAAATTAATTTCCAAGGTAAGACTTAGTTTACAACTTCCTAGAATTAAAGGGTGTATTTTCAAATTTTCAAAGTACATAATTAACTGAACTTATGATTTTATTTTTATGGAAGTATCCAATATCATACCATATATTATATAACATATATAATAATATATGTGCAGTATATATTCCAAAATATATTATAAAAATCTGTACAAGGAAAAATATAGGGTTGGGAGATATTTTATTCTAGATCATGCTAAAAATATAGGTAGATAACAGCTAAACACTGAACTGAACTGGAATCCAGTTGCAGAGAAGGAGGAGTGATGAGCAAAGGGGTCAAGACCAG